TGGGCATAACAAAAATTGATCCCTGGCCAAGGGTAGAGAAAATCATTTGTTGTTCACATGGCGAGTTTCGTTTACGTAATCCAAACAGCCTATTAATTCGAGTTCTCTCGAGCTCGTTACCACACACATGACTCATCCACCTTTCTGTTTTACTCTACTGGATTTTATCATAAAAATGCGATTGTAAAGGCTTGGAAAGGAATTCACCGAAAACCTGTTCATCCATATTGTGTGTTCTTAGAAAGACGAGGCTGTATCAATTGTTAAAGAAAGCGAAGGCAACCGGCTTAAATCCATTCTATCAAGACTGACAAAAGACATATGTCGCGGGATGTTTCATCTTCTCAGTCGCTAACGTAAAACAAACGAACAAGCACATTGGGTCTGTAAATCCTAGTGAACGGACATGTACAGTTAGACAGGGGCTATTAGAGTTAAAAGCAATAAAACATCGAACTCCACTTAAACCCCGCTTTTGTTCAAGCGAAACAAATGAACATAAAAATTCGGAATCTTTCAGCCGACAGACTCCATCTTCTGAGGAAATCTCTTGCTATCATCTTTTCATGGTTTTCAGTTCAACAATCTCTCTGTTCTTTTGAACATTTTACAGAAACAGCTAGTGTGATTTCCAATCTATGCTGTCCTATGAAAATAGTTTTTTCACACTGGCAGCGTATGCTTTCCGCGGTTAAAAGCTCTTAGAAGACCAAAAGAACTAGCGTTCAAGATGCATCAAACAGCCAATGTCAAACACCTCACATTGGAAATCAGGGCAGGGATCAAAAGAGTGAATGCTTCATTCGCAAAGCAAGTTCTGGGAGCTGGAGGACGGTTATGGCAAGGGATCAGATTGCTTTGCTGACAGAAGAAACGGACAACGAACAAAATTATTGACGTGGGCAGCCTCAATGCTGTATCCATTTATCCTTCGAATGAGCTCCTGTCTCCGTACCCCAAAGGTCACCTATCTACCATAGACCCAGTCACCCATAAGGAGGTCTATCATCTTCTCAAAACTACGAAAATCACGGACGCGGTTGGCCCCGATGGTCTGTCTTCGTCGTTGCTCAAATATGGCGCTGACTCAGTCATAGAGATGTTTGCGTCCCTTATTACCGAATCCATTTACACATGTTCGATTTCGGATTCCCGGAAATCGTTCACCATTGTTCCCGTTCGTAAATCCTCTTCATCTAGCAGTTTATCTAAACGCTTTCGTCCTATCCCCATCACCTCCTCTGGACTTAAACTTGCAGAGCACGCTATTCTCACTAGCTTGCAGTCTGGTCATATTGTTCCCAATGACCCCCTCCAGTTTGTGTACAAGCCAAATAGATGCACTCTGGATGCCGTCTCTTCAATGATGCACTTTATCTTTAGATAATTTTCCAAAGTCCGTCCGTTGTGTTTTCCTCGACTATTCTTTTGCCTTCGATTCCGTTCGACGATCTCTTCTTCTGCAAAAGTTACAGCCATTCGGTTCTCCTCACGGACCTATTATCATGATTGAAAGAGTATTTCATAGCAAGGATTCAAAGAACGAAAGCAAACGACACTATTTCAAAACCGTTAGTGGATAATTCAGGAGTCCTTCAGGTTGCTGTGCTCTCTCCCCTCTAATTTTCAACTTTTATCAGTGACTCACCCTCAATCCCACCAACCAAAACCTCTAAGTATGCAAATGACGTTGTTTTATGTCAAGCTATTTCAAAACAATCGGCCGTAGAATCATTTCCCGACAGTTTACTACAAGTGCAATCATTCCTGAATCAATACGGTCTCCGGTTGAATACTTTGAATGCATTTTTAGTCTTCCCGGATCCCATTATTCCTTGGAACCCTCAGTCATCAATTCCGTACTCGTCACCAGAACACATATCACCAAATACTCAGGAGTCACCATAGATAGCAATCTACGGTGGTCCTCTCATGTGCTAGCTTGTGTTGGTAAACTTCGTCACTTATCTTTTCAAATACTCAAGCTACGGTAATTTCGCGTCAGGCATGAAACTGCATGTTCCTTTGTTTATCAATGCGTTAATCCTGTCATACTTTATTGTTCGCCCGTTATTTTTCCTGCACTACTTAGAAAGGATTTCATTACTCTACATCGCGGTTTGGTAATTATCAGCCGTGTTTCTCTCATTCCTTTGAACACTGTGTAATTCGCATATCACTTCATATGAGAATTTCGCTCATAAGATACTCAATGACCCCAGTCATCCACTCAATCCCGATTTATCTGCTTGCCGTTCCCACGCTTCAACCCGATCCAATTCTCGCTGTTTACCCTCCCGCATAAAGATTTATTGCCATTCAACGGTACCATATCTATCTCGTATTCTCACTGACATGGCGAGGATCCGTAACGAACTAATCTTACATCTACAAAGATGAACACCTATTTAGTTTTGTCACGGAACAGGATTTTGTAGTCGAATTAGCAACGCCTCACTTATTTAAAACAAACAGTTTGGCGAAACTTTTGTTTTTCAGTAATTCCTTATCAAACCGTTTGCAGATTACATAGGTCTTCTAATATTACCTATGTAATCTGTAAACGGCTTGAGAAGGAATTACTAAAAGCAATTGGTTCGCCAAATTGTTTGTTCTACATGTCGTGATGGGAATCTTTAAGACATTGAAACAATCAGTGGGCCTCACTCATTGCCAACAGTTTTGCATCGCCTACTGTTCCCCGGAAAGCTATTTAAATCAAACTATCTTTTAAGGACGATCACCTTCGGAATGATGTGCACCAAAAATCAGCTCTCAACCGCACATTCCCTGCTGCTCAACTTCGACTTATTGCCTCTACTCGTGGAATCCATTTGGACAAACGTGTAGATGGTTGGCAATCTAGTTCTGTCTCACACATTGTATACCAGTTCACCTGCAGTTGCAGTGACGCATATATAGGCAGAACCAACCGGCAATTATCACAGGGGGTGGCTGAACACATTCCAAATTGGTTGGTGCAGTCGATGACGCAACCCACGCACAGTAATCAGGCGGTCACACTTAATTCGGGGTCATCTAATGCAAAACACGTCATGACAACTAAACACATAATTGATCCCGCTTCCTCTTTCTAACAGTTGTTACGTAACTGCAATGCAAAGCGTTTGGCAATAAGTGAGGCGTTGATAATCAGATTACATAATCTCGTTCTGTGCGTCCAAAAGTTGTTGACCCAATCAGTTCACTGGCCGTGGAGTTGACCTGTTTTTAATTTTAACAGCCCTAACTAACTGTACATATCCGTTCACTTGGATTTACAAATCCGATGTGCTTGTTTGTTTTACGTCAGCGATTGAGAAGACTAAAGGAAATGTTAGTATCTCGTGATATATCTTCTTCTTCGAATCCTACCGAGGCTACTGAACTTTTCACAATCAACATATAAACTTCAAATCTACCAAACAACAATTTGAACAATTAACCGTACCTTAGAAGTTCATTCGGTGGATTCTGAGGAAAACCTGTCGGGGCAGTCAGCTTGCATGCTAACTTGTGGATGCCATATGCCTCTGTAAATTGGATGGGTAATTCGAATGTGAAAAGAGCCGTGCTATCGCTGTGGCCTCGGAGCTCAGCTGGTAGAGCGTGCGCTGTACACAAAACGTAGGCAGCAACCATGCGTGGGTTCGAATCCCACCGAGGCCACTGAACTTTTCACAATCGACATTCAAATGATATTCATTCCTTTAAGCTATGGAGAGACTCTCGCTCTCTTCGACTCGATTACTGGTTTACTTCTTAGCATCTGGCAGCGGGTAACGAAGCTCGCTTCACCTTATTTTCCTGTACGATGATGAATAAGATTTTTCGTTACAACGATTAACAAGGAAGCTACAGAAATGAATCTACTGTCAATTCCACATTGACTTTCCATGTACGGTCATCCGGAGAAGGTGGGCAAACAAAATGATCTCGCTGTTTTATTATCTGCTTCCGGTTCGATCTGGTACTATTGCCCTATGTTTAGCTGTACGTGTAGGATTACGAAACACTGAAGACGAGCTCGTTTGCCACTTTGTGTTTAATTGGGACTGTCTGGAAGTTTTTCTCTCTCTTCATCTGCCTTCTCCTCCCGAAGGAACCGACAAGAGTAAGCCATAGCAACTCCACCCGACTGTCCCGTTGGCACTGAGAGAGAGCAACAAATCGTTCATTCGGACTAATATCTGTATTCGTGGTGGAGGAAAATCACGGAAATTTGTGCTGAGTAATTGGACCACATAAGTGCGAGATACAGAAGTGGGCGTTTGGATGTCGGGGACTAACTGAGGAGTAGTGGAGTGTGGATGGGAAGGAACGGGCTGTGAGGTACACATTTGAGATCAATGAGAAGACGAATAGTGAAAAAACCATGTCGAAAAAGATAATGAGAAAAACAACACAATCCACGGTTCATGCTAGTGTGCGCGCGCGTGTGTTTGTGTATAACTTCTGGTCACATGAGTTTGATTGTGGTAGAAATTGTAATACTATATAAAAAAAAGCAATAAAAATTGGCATTTTCCCCCTGAGGTAGTAGAGTTCGAGCATAGGTGAACAGCAAACAGCTGAAATCCAATATATAAAGAGAAAATTGACTGATGCCCTGATGAACAACAGCAAAGAAGTTTTGTCCCTGGCTAGTTCATTTTGAAATACATAAGAGATGGGGAACGACATTCAGTGCCCGTAAATCCAAATTGCTGATGGCTAGAGCCCAATTAGCGGACCAAAAAGAACAGGCTGAGAGAAATGGTGTACGAGATGAGTAGGAAGTGAGACGATCTATCCGGGTGGGAATGGTCGTGGGTGAAGGAAGGAAGTATCAAAGTGGCGGTTGTAGCAAAAAAGGAGTCATCAGCAAACAAACAAAGAAATGATGATCGAAAGGCAATATTGTCGTCAATGCTGTTGTCATTGTTGTTGAAAAACCGGGTTTGTTTTTGTTTCCTCGGGACGGAAACGAAATCATGCATGCACTTGTTGAAAAACAAACGTTATTCCATTCCGTAGATATTTGGGGCTAGTTGGGATAGTACATCCACCTCAGGCTTAATGGTGCTGTTTCCGTTGCTACTGTCTCGTCCGTGAGTGCTCGGGACAAACGTTCTTGAGCTGATCTGGGATGACCGATCATTGTTCACGCCGAGGCACAACGGGTCCCGGGGAGAGGAATGATGAGTTACGGTGGTCACATGAGGCAGAAGTGTGCCCGGGACCGGATGATTGCGAATTCCCTGAGAAGGCCAAGCGCATCGGGGGAAAGTGCTCGAATCACTTGGACCAGCAGAAGTAGATGGTTCAGCCGGTTGCTTATGTGGTGCACCTGTTGTCGGCTGTTGATGTCGGTGTTGTTGGTCGTGGTGATGGTGATGTTGCTGTTGTTGTTGTTCGGTACAGAAAACTCCATTATCATTGGGCCAAACGCCGTGCTCCACCAAGTTTATCAAACGTCGAGCGGACGGATCTTCGGCGGCCAGTTTCACAAACACCAAGTGTTCCAAACACTTCTGAGCGATCGATCGGAGCGGAGGCAAACGAAGAAGGAGTTTGGTGAATCGCGAGGTGTCGTTCGGATGTGTGGTTGTACAGTACGAATGCAATCCTGCATACAGGCTTTCTCGAACAGATTCCACATGCGGACGGGCCGAAACATTGTTCGCATCTGTGACCGGGCAATCGCGTCCAGAACGATTGTGGGCAGCGGTGGGGGGGGTGAGGAAAATGAGATTGATTGAGAACAGATCGCAGGATTTGGACACAGACACACGAGAGTTCCAAACATACGTCTGCTAAACGTTGAACTGAACAAGTGCACATGACATCTAAATGTGCAAACAGAAATGCTTTTTACAAGTAAGAGCACTATAATTAGTGGGAAACGTATAACCGGTAACTACAGCACCCATTATAATCTAAGTTTGGCAATCCCGCGGTTCAGAATGGGTGTGCTGTATGCGGACGCTCTGGGCGAATATGCACACATCACATTCGAACATCATTTTCAGGATTCCACCACCCCACTCCCATCACAAACATACAAGCCTGACAAATCTGATGACCACCAATCAAAGCAATCGGACAACCGGTATAAAGATGTAAATTCACAAGTGGTTGATTTACTCGCGGAAGTTGCACAAGTTTAATCTATTAACCAATTGACCATTCTACCATGCAGATCATAGTACAAGATAAAACCTTTACCTAACTTTTTCATTCAGGTAGTCAAGAAAAAAATAAATCGATGACATTACATTACGGGAAGGAAAGGTGACGGCAGTGGGGATTGAATGCTCATGTGCGACTGGGAAGGAAAAACAATTTTTATTGATGTTTGATCGTGTGTGTGTGATAGTACAATCTTAAAGCGATCTGGGCTCAGACAGCGGTAGTCAGGCGGAAAATTATCGCTGTAGACACGAGAGACGGGACGTGGTCGACAGTTAGGGTGTAAAATACAAACTGGTAATTGTGTTGTGAACGTGCAAAAATTGCACATAGCACAAAGCAGGTTGGCGTCTTTGACACAGTTGGGCAATTAAGAAGCCCACAAAATATCCGGCTTTCTACAGTTGAACGGTGTATGACGTGGCTGTGCGACCCGGTCATTCTACCTCAAGGATGGTCAACGACCTTCGATCACTGCCGTCTCAGAGACATTGACTATGTGATGATGGACCTTATTTGACAATGAGTATTCGGTACAGATGTGATTAACTTTAATTGAAGCGAATATCATCCCTGATATCTTGAACAGGTGCCACGCATGCATGCTAACTGTCTTCGGTACCATTTGCAGTAGATGCAACACGTGGCAACCGCGCCAGTAATATTTTATCGTGAGTGTTTGTATCTCACGACTTTTTAGTTCGTGGCGTTTCGTTTGCTTTGACTTGCAGGTTTGACTTTAACGCCGACCTACAGACACCTGTTTGCCAGTGTTTCCTAGCCACCCCGCCGTCGTTCATCGCTCGCAAAAGCTTGTATCTTTTTTCTTTTACTTCCTTTTATTGAATATACAATGATACAATTTTCAGGAAGGGGGAAGCGACCAATCAAAGGGCTGCCATACAACACACAATGGGGAAAGTCAGGCGGTGGTGGTGGGATTCGGACACACGTCCCTCGGAGTGGTAATTTGGTGACGTTACCAACGGGCCACCACCACCTTAAAAAGAGATGGTCCGAAGATCTCCCCACTGGCCAAAACTACGCGCCCGATTAGGGATCGTCGCAAGCTTTAACCCGCCAGAGTGCAAGGGCGAGCCAACACCTGGGGCCCGGTCGTCCGTGATTACCCTGGTTCTGGCGGGAATACAAGCTGAGGGGCAACCTGTTGCGCATCTCTGACCACTCCATTGCGCTGCGAGAGCCTGAAGTAAATTTGCATTATATAAACACTTTCATAATCCGACTGGAGGAAAACTAGATGAGATCAGTTCATAAGATGAAGGAAACTAATCGCTGCAAAGGCCCAGATTGGTTTTCCCGACTGACGGGCTGAACGGATCATCAATGTCATGGCTTAGAAATCCTGAGTGAATTTAGACCTGTATCAAGGAAAATGGTGAGACTGATGCAAAATTCACGTGGTGTGTCTACCGGTTACACTTATACAAGCTGGTAGTTCAAACAAAGGTCAACCGACTGGTCGACCAAGTTATGAGATTTTCTTACCTGGATTGAACAGAATAATAGCTCGTAACAGAGCTAACTCAATTCGTTCTAGGTTCATCTCACGAAATCGAGACACCAGTTCCAATAGAAATCGATCCATCAGAGGACCGAGCCCATGTNCGACTGAGATGTCGCCCATTGGCCAGCAGAAGACCATCCCGTACGGCGATCGAATTGAACGAAGCACTGATCAGCAACAACTCGGGCCACGCTGAAAGAAAACATCAACAATGTAGAGGAAAACGGTGATTCTGGGGCTAAAAGTTAATATCGAACGAAGTGCACAAGTGATCAAGTTGGGAAAACAGCTCGCGATCTTCCTCTTACACAACGAATGTAGAACAGCTTTTTGTGAGCATCAACTTGCCCCATATAATGTGTATTTGACACCTGTCAGGGATGAGAATAAAGCATTTCGAATATCGAAATCGTTACAAAACACATACACAGAAGAGTGATCTCAAAAGAGAGTGTGCTGCAGCTTTATGTGCACAGGCAAACAGTTTCAAGTTGCAACCTGTTTTGGATAACTTGAGTGCCAGTGTAGCCATGTTCGTTATGCGCTTTGCAGCTTCAAAGTGTAAAATGTTACTACAGGAGTGAGTTGGTCCAGCACCCAACCCCACTCTAACTAGGGAAGTAATAGAGCAAGTGGATAAGTTCTGTTATTTAGGTAGCTACATCTCACCTGGTGGACGCATCACGGATGAAGTGTTGGCTCGCATGCAAAATGATCCGTTGGTATTTGAGACATCTGTGGCGTCGTAGTGACATCCGGCTGTCTGTTAAGGGTGGAGTATATGCCGCGGTAGTTCGGCCAGTTCTACTATACGGTACAGAAACTTGGCTATTAAGAAAACAGGATAAAGACAGACTGTCGGTGTTGGGACACCGCTATCTACGCAACATTGCACGAATCTGGTGGGGCAGCCGGACGAGCAGAGTTTTGGGTAACCACGGTCGTTCACTGGAGTAAGTGGTCGACCTTCATAGATCACATTGGTTGGGGCATGTGTTATGCATATCATCAGATAGATTGTCACGGTGAGTGATGTTCACTGCGGCAGATAGCGGGTGGAATAAAGCCAAGGGTGGTCAAGCTAAGACCTGGCATGGGGATATGAAAACCCTAACCAGGGGTCTGGGTCACATAGGTCCCGTTAGGCTCCCTGGCTGGGGACCTCGAGATGATCCTAACACATGGTTAGAGACACTGAGCAATATGGCTGAGAGTCGTGAACAGTGGTGTTCGTGCATCTCCTCAATTTCTTTGCATCATTAGTTCACTGAATTTCTCAATTTTCTCTTCGATCCTACTTTCAATTATCTTGTTTTCCTCGTATTATTCATCCAAATGGGCAGCAAAAAGATAGCAACCAAAACCGGTGCACGAAAGGGCATGGTTACTGGTCGTTCAAACTGAAACTGGAAACCAGACGGAATCTCTGTGTACAGGAAATCGACAACGACCGATCAGGTGCTGAACTACGATAGCAATCATGCCACTTGTCAAATAAGAATCTGTGTACGAAATTTGTTCCACACTGCCCGCACACATTGCAGTCCAAAGACACGCATCATCAACAAGGAATCCAATTGTTCCACCAGTTTCGCACAAATGAATATCCCAAATGTTTCGTTCAATCATGCCTTAGGGGAAAAAAGGATGAAGAGAAGCAAGCGAAACTCCTACTACCACACATTCGTGGGGTATCATAAGCCGTCGATTGCATCCTTCGCCCTCTGGGTGTTATTATTGCTCACAAACCTACACCACTGCGGTCAATTTTTTTCAACGGTAAGGACCCCATAGAACCAAATGACCAATCAGGGGGCTGTGTACGTAACTCCGTGCCTAGGCTGTAACCAACGTTACGTAAGAGAGACAGGCAAACAGCGTTGTACTCGACTACAGAAGTACACACAATTGTACCACGACGTACTGACCCGAAGTCACACCTCTGGAACCACTGCGCAACGACAGGTCACGAGGTCAGAATCAATGACGCAAAAGTAGCGGCAAAGGAAAAGAGGAAGGGGGAACATTTGACCTTTGAAGCGCTGTATTAGACCAACGCATTTAATCGACACGTCAAAATTGATCAACATTACTCAACGATTGTACAACTTAAGGAACTCCTGACATTCATACCGATCGGAATACAAATGGTCCGTAAACAGAAGAGGGAAGATTACGGAGTGCATGGGTGATAGGCATCTACGTAAACAGTAATCATGAAGAATCATACCGTAATCCTAATTAGCCCAAACCGCAAACACACACAAGTAAATACAATAATGGGGACGTTTGGTTTGACGCATACCTGCTCTTAGAAGCCACAGCTGATCGTCCTTAGAAAAATAAGGCTGTGAGAAGACAGGTAACTGGCGAGCCCAACACACGAGCCGTGTCAGTTGCTCCTCGACCGAGTGACAGACTACCACCAATGGATCCAGCCCATCCTCTCCGATATCCACATAGACCCGTTCACCTGTCGCTGTTGTGGGCAGTTCGGCATCCGTGCTCAACTCGGCCGTTAACAGACTGGTCAAACTGAGTGGTGGAGGGACGATTGTTGACGCTGCAGGTTCAGTGGGGGAACAAATCACAGATGTCGTCGATGTCGTGGCTCGATTCGAGCGATGTTTTCTGCCTGATTGTCGCTCGATTACTGGAGTGGGATCGGATGACTGAGGCGAACAGATCACAGTGGATTTGCCATGCTCAACAAGACTCAATGTGTGTCCATTCGTTTTGGTAGAATGACCATCTACAGACACAGTGATGGAATGCTCAACTTTTAGTTGCTGAGAACGACCTTTGGTCTCTTTTTGAAAATATCGGTGGCGTTCTTCCTGGACAGCTGTTCGGGTTGAGGGGGAGGAGAAGGAGAAAAGCGATTCATGGACCTTTGAAAAAATTGCTTGGACAATACTCATTTCTTCTGATCGATGTGAGGAAATTATTTTCATCCTCCAAAACTACCCATAAATCTCGTGTCCCTCCCTCACACAATTATTACACCAAGTACAGTGATTTCATACGAAAAGATATACATCCTTCGTCACGAATTCATCCTGGCCGTTGGTGGTAACTGAAAACAAGAGTCATAGGAATTGTAATGGTGAACCACACCATGGGCAAAAGAATGAATAAGCGACAAGAAGCTTTCTGCTATTGAAATTGAATGGCAGTGAAAGGGTTCGAACTCCGGATTTCCAGGAGCCTGTACACACCAGTAACACCGCAAGACTACCAATAGTATAGAACGGCTTTTTGTTTCTCATTGCTAAGTTGTGGTCGCTACCATTGGGGTCCTCCGAGTTGTATGGTCTGACTTGTGAACCCTACCATCATCAGCCAACTTCGGTGGCAGACAGCTTTAATCCCGCTCGACTCAACACCACACCTATACTGTTCTATCATAATATTACGTAGTCCTCTGTTCCAAGTTCGAGGACTTGCAATGCTACAGTGGGAGAGACATACAGGATTGGGTAAGTCCGCCCCCAACCTCGGTCTGATTGAGCGAGCAATAGAGGAAGTGAACAAATTTTGTTCTTTGGACAACCACATCTCACTTGGCGGACGCATCACGAATGAAGTGTCGGTTCTCAGACATGAAAGCTCGGTTGGGTTGGTCAACTTGAGACATCTCGGGCACTATCGCGACATCCGGCTGTCTGTGAACGGTTAACTATATGCTGCATCAGTTCGGCTAGTGCTGTTATACAGCACAGAGACCTTTCTATTATGAAAACAGGATGAAGATAGACTGTCGGTGTTCGAACACCGCTGTCTACCAGTGGTGGTGTGATCGGACAACCAATACTAATTTTAGGCGCAGAAGTTAGGTAACCGTGGTTACCTAACGGAACAAGTAGTCGACCGCTACAGGGTAGGTTGGTTGAGGCTTGTGATAGTTATGTCACGGCGCGCATTATTGGCGAGGCAGAGTAAAATTGCAGAAAAGTCAATGGTGGTCAAACCTGGTATGAGGGTATGAAAACCCT